GGTATTCTCTCGAAGAAGAAGACGAAGCAAAGGCTTACGGGAAAAATCAAAAAAATAGGGGTGAAAAGGAGAGCTACCCCAAAGTTAGCTGCCAAAAGTTAGGTTGAAAATTATATTAATATACCCTATATTTTAAGAAAGTTTAAGTGGGGGCAAGTTTAAGAAAGTTTGAAAATTTTTAAAATTACACTTAGATGATTACACCAAAGGAAGTAAGGAACTAACAAAGAAACTAAATAAAAGAGAGAAGAGGGTTGGACGCTGGACTGGACTGGTATTCTCTCGAAGAAGAAGACGAAGCGAAGGCTTATGAGAAAAATAAAAAAGTAGGGGTGAAAATGAGAGTTGCCCAAAAGTTAGGTTAAAAATTATATTAATATACCCTATATTTTAAGAAAGTTTCAGTGGGAGCAAATTTAAGAAAGTCTTGAAAAATTTGAAATTACACTTAGGTCCCAAAATTTTTTAAATTTTTAGTAGGGGTAGCTGAAAATTATATTAATATGCCCTATGCTTTAAAAAAAATTCAGTGCAAGCAAGTTTAAGAAATTATTGAAAATTTTAAAATTGTACCTAGGGCCCAAATTTTTTAAAATTTCAGTGGGGGCAGTTGCCCCCACTGCCCCCATACTACATCCGTCACTGTTCTTCGGGAATCCTTGTCATTTTGTTGTATGTTGATGATATGATTATTACATGATTAAGTGGCTTATCTCTCAATTGACTGGTGAACTGTCACTCAAAGACTTGGGTTTTCTTCATCATTTTCTTGGAATAAAAGTCCATAAGCTTGCTTCGGGTCTCTACCTTTCCCAAACCCGCTATGCCTTAGATCATTTTCATCATGCTTCTATGGGTGCTTGCAAACCCATCACGACACCCATGCCCTCCAAAGGGCGAAGTCAATCTCTGTCGACTGTCCCATTTCTTGATCCCATTCACTCTCTTAGTATTGTGGGTGGTCTGCAATATCTCAAATTTACTCGACCTAACCTCTCTTATAGTGTAAACTTTGTTTGTCAATTCATGCATGCGCCAACCATGGAACATTACAAACTTGTCAAACGTATTTTACTCTATCTCCATGACACAACTCATTTTGGTTTACACATCATTTCCTCTAGCACTCTTAATTTATATACCTTTTTTGATGTTGATTAGACCGGTTGTCCCTTTACTCGTCGCTCTGATACTGGGTTTTGTACTTTCCTTTGTGGTAACTGTATTTCTTGGAGTGCTAAGAAGCAAACCACAGTCTCCTGATCTAATGTAGAAGTTGAATATACAGTCAATGGCCTCCACCGCTGCCGAGCTCACATGGTTAACATTTTTACTTCATGACCTAGACATCTTTCTGTCACAAACCTCCTCTCTTAGATTATGATAATATTAGTGCATTACATATGACAATCAATCTAGTTTCATGGTCTATCAAAACATATTGAGTTGGATTATCACTGTGTTCGCAAAAAACTACCCTCAGATCCCTTGAGACACGTTTTGTTCCTTCACATTAGTAACTTGCTAATATTTTCACCAAGTCATTGTCCAAGAATTTGTTTTTGGATTTGAGAAACAAATTTGGCCTTTGCCTTGACCATCGACCAAGTTTGAGGGAACGTGATAAGGCAGATTCAAGTTCAATTACTAGATAGGAGATTTTTTCGCGGAAGGATATGTTTTCTTTGGTGAAGAAATTACAAAAATTGAAAAATTAAGAGTTATGGGATTTAGTTGCTTGAGGGTGGGGTTGGGTTTCACCGGAGGAACTTATTGGATTTTTGTGCAGAGAATTGGACCTTTTTATTTTTGAATTTTCTTTTTCACAGCAAATATTGAGATAAAAATAGTTGTGGGCTTTTGATTAATTTTAAGTCACGTGAAACCTTTGTGATAAATTTTCTCCATTTTAAAGGTGGTCAGGTAAGAATTAATTGAAAATTATTCAAACAAAAATGGAAAAAATTGTCAAAATTAAAACGGTTGATTACAGCATGATCCAGGGTCGCGGCCCCC